CACCACAATGTCACAAGGCAACGCTGACAAAGTGAGGCATTCGAATGAACCATCTTCTTGTCTCGGTTTTTACTGATGGCAAGCAGCATACTCGCTTACCCTTAGTCATGTGCATAATTGCCTCGATTTAAAAAAATGAAATGTACTATCATTAACATTGTATAATATGCATTTTTCCAATATTTTCCAAAACTTTTATTTAAATTTAATACAAAACCATTCACAATGGTAGGTGTCTCACAATGGTTCTCAAACGTTCCTAAAACTAAAGTTAATGTACATAAAATATATTAAAGTGACAACTTTGAATTGTTTTGCGAGAATCAAGTTGGTCATAACTAGGGAGCCGATTTTGATGACCGAAAACACCGCCAAAAATTATAAATAAAATGCTCTTAAAATGTTTTTAAAATGCCCTAAAAGCAAAGAAAACTGATTGAAAACAATTTTATAAAATCCAGTTCAGATTAACAACTCAAGCTGTGGGATAAGTTACTGATGTAATCGAGGCTTCTTCCTATCGTTCAAGTGAATTCAGCTTGCAAACTTTCAGTTTGAACTGTTCTTTACCATGAAATCCTTGTCGTTAATTATCGCGAAATCGGCAGAACCTGTAATGGCGCTGATATTATTCACAGGAACCTTATATTAAGTACTCACAACTGACTCTGCATTTTCTGAACGAAGAAATCGAAAAGGGTACTCAGGAATTCTGTGGAAAATATTTGTTGCATCTTGTAAATATAATTTGAAGCAAGTACAATTAAAATTATATTAAAATCGATGAAATCAGCGAGAAATGCTTAAAAAAGGACGGGAAGGTAAAAAATGACTTATTAATCTACGAAAAATACAAAAAATAAGTATTTTCCTTTTGTCATAACTTGAAATTAATATCTGTACTACAAGGCCTTGTTCTAAAGACAACAGACAAAAAAATTACGTTTCATTAAAATCAGCCCCTAGTCATAACTAATTAATAGAAAGAAGTTTGTATTAACAAGAGTTGGAAAATAAAGTAACTATACTGATGTCTTTTCCAAAAGTTCTATGTAGGTATTAGTGGTGAAAATGAATTGTTTACGTTAATATACCACCTAAGTTTTGATTTATTGAAAATACAAAGAATTTACCAAATTGTATAGTCGGATGTATCGGTGTGTAACACGGAAAGTGGAACTTAAAATGATCGTCTTACGTCGCTTTTGAGACTTATTTATTTATTTATTCATTCATTGGTTTTCTTCAAAGACATCTAGAGATTTACGAATTACCATTTTTACTTTCTCGCTCAACTTCGTAAGTGGAGAAAGTATTGTAATCGTGCGTTGGAAAACGGCGAATTTTCCACAGAAAAAGTCTCATAGCTCGACCCAGGTTGTGAAAAAGTGAATAAATCTTGTCGCTGCAAATAGCAAAATTACTTCTTTTAACCCGTGTAGTCAGGATTCATGTTTAGTGGGTTCTTGATACCCAAAAATTGTTTGATGGTAAAAAGACTGGTCTGGTCAACGTTAGCGACTAAACTGTCAGACGATTATCTCCAAAACTGATATTATGACTCCCATTGAAGGACCTCGAAGCCTTTGAAACGGACTGATTTTGATACTTTCCTTGAAGCCTCAAAACACTTCCGAAATTTTCTTTGAAATAGCTCCAAATGCTTATTTTCTCGCACTTCGTCAGAAGAAAAAGTGTAATCGTGCGCCAGAAAATGGCAAATTTTTTGCAGAAAATCTCTAATTGCCGGGCTCTGGTTGTGAAAAAGGGATTAATCATGTTGCTTTAGATAGTAATTACTTCCTCAAACACATGGAGTATGCAGAATCCATGTTTAGCGGGTCCTTGATACTAAAAAGTCGATTGACGGCCAAATGTGTCTGCCCGTCCGTGTTCGGTCAACGCTAGCGCCTGAACCGTTCAGCCAATTGTTTCTAACATTGATATTCCCAGATACATCTGAACGAACTCGAGGCTTTGGGAATTTCAAAATGATATTTTTATTTTTGAGGGTACCTTATAAGAAGCCTCAAAAACGTTATCAAAATGTTCACAAAAGTGACATATTTTTTACTAAACTTTGTCTTCGGATAACGCTTAAGAAAACGCTTAAGAGAATGGCGGGTGATTGTTGAAATTTCTGATTTTTGAAAATTGCAGAAGTGCATGTTATTTGGGACGTTAACTACAAAGAAGACGGATATTGTTTGTGAATGAAATCTGTTCTTGAAAGAAGATCATATTCAATGTTCCGAAAATATGAGTAATTTTCGTATGAACATGTAGTATTAGAACCATTTTCGGTGAACTCTTCACACTGTCAAAAATTGCAAGAATTGCAAAAAGTTAACATTTCAAATCAACAAGCCCGAAGAAGAGTATTACTACGTTTCTGTAGCGAAGAGTGTAGGTTCGCGGTGAGTTAATTCGGATAACCTGAGTTCATAGCTCGGTGCAAATGTAATTTTTTTGCTGGTTGAAAATATTTCTGCAGGTTTATGTAGTAGTATAATACAGCAAAACAGTTAAAAATAATGCGAGAAAGAACGTGGTGGTGTAGCACCACTACTAGTTTTGATTATACTTTGTCCTCGGATATCATAAACGTATTTTTCTTGAAAGGATGGCCCATGTCTCATTTAAGTTGAAATCCCTGCCTTTTAGAAAAATGCGTAAGTTCAACTTCTATAAGCATAATGTTTTTAAGATCTGACACATCTAAAAAATATGATGTTAAAAAACATCGCAACAATTTTTAGAAAATACGAGTAGTTTCGTGTTATTTTCCGTGAAATGTAGTCAAATTTTAAACAATTATTTTCTCAAAACAGCAAACGATATAAATTAAAATTAAGAAATAACTATTATTCTTTTTATTTTCTCCCTACTGCTTACGCAGCAAAAAATACACAGGCACACACACACACACACACACACACACACACACACAGTTGTCAGACCCAAAGACTTGACATATTTCTCTATGTATGTCGACGCGCTGAATCCGAATATGAAGCCAGAACTGAGCAATCATCCTTCAGTTTTGTTAAACCGCGAAACTACCATGAAATTGTAGATTTTAAATTTCGCGTTGGTTTTTCCCAATTTAAAAAAACTGGATGATGATGGTGCAATTCTAGCTTCGAATTCGGATTTACCGCGTCTACATACTGTGACGTCATGGATACTCACAGCGACCACAGACAAAGAGCTTTCATATAACAAGTATATTTATTAACAAATAAAACAAAACAAACATATACATTTAATAATCTACTTACATTCTAGCTCTGATAGACCTACTATCCCCTGATCGCGGGAGCGATCCAAACCCGATTGAAGATGGTTTT